TATATCACTGGTGCAACACTATCATTGACAAAGATGTTGTTAATGTAGCCAGATGTTGCTTTCTTCATTTTGTCCTTTGAGATAGGACACCTTCAACAATTGCTTTTATTATCATTGGTGCCACGTTGAGACCAAATCCTAGGTGTATTAGACAATACCTTTTATCTCGTATAACTATTTGTTTGGTATGGTATGGTCACAATGATTTGTTAATGCAAACCTGAAGATATACTTTCCTCAAATATGATAATGATACATTTGTACCTTTTTTTTTTTTTTTTTTTTTTTTTGTGCTATTCTCTCAACTTGGCCACACAGACATCAGTATTAGTTGTAAATGTGTCAACGTGTTGAGTTATTTGTAGTCCATAGCTGGGTATACGTTTTGTTTGTTGTGTTGTATCAGGGAATTTAGGTGAACCAGTCTTTTAGGAGGATTAAGTTTTTCTTTGTAGCTCCTGACATGTTTGGGAATGCAGTACTCATTGCGCAGAGCCTCTGGCACTTGTCCTATTTGCAGTCCAACAATTCTGGGTTTGGTCAAACTCTGCACAGAAATCTGGCTCATTAAGTCTGATTGCCATGCACATCTTCCTTACTACTCCAGCTGGTATGATGGTGATGCCACCCACCTCCCTTATGGTGCCAATCTCAAGTATGAGATCAAAGATTGAGTTGTTTACCAGTTCAGCCCTATCTATGCCCAACTTGATCTGACCTTGTCAACAGCATGTCAAGATTTTTGTTAGCTGTCAACACATCCATTTGCCTAGGCCTCCAACAGTAGCACATAAACCTGCTAACTAGTGTCTGCATACAACCAGTGTCCACCTGTTCACTTCCATTCAAAATTATGTCAGTTGTTAGCATGGTCTCATTCTTCACTTCCTTGGGGAGCAAATTGATGCTGACACCTTCTGAGGCATTCCCCTGACACTCTGATGTGACATGCCTAGCCTTTATTACATCAAAAATGGCACATCCTTTGGCACGACTGGTGCAGTTGATCAATATTTTCTCCTGCATGTCTCGACAAATGATTGGGACCTCTCATACTTTTGCATTTTAGTTAGTGCACAGGCTTGTTGAGCAGCCAAATCAATCTCTTCAGGTTCCTTAGTCATAATGACCCATGCCCAGATTACTAGTTGTTCGAATGTCATGGCATCCATTTTTGACACCACTCGGAAGCTACCTGACATGCTGTAGTAGTTCTGACATGAATATGCAGACCAACCATTGATCTCCAATAAGCAGATGAAGTGGTCTCACTACAAATTGGTCATATGTGACTAATGAGTTCAAAGCATAGGCAGCTGTAAGGGCCTGTTTGATGTTCTGCAAACTCACCTTCTTCTCCCTGTCTATAGTGCCATTTCACAAGTGCAGTGGCAGTTATTAGCTCAATGTCCATCCTCTTGCAAAGGTCGCATATCTCTGTGTTAAATCCATTGTATAACTGCTTTGTCTAGAACAGTAATACCAAACTCTGGAATTATTTGATAATCAAATATTTTGTCCTTGATGAAATAGAAGAAATTCAATCTACTGAAATAGCTTGTAGTAGTTGCAATGAGTCTGGTCCAGAATAAGTCAAAGTACTCTAGATCATCCCTTGCTTATCTGTGCAGTTCACCTTTTATTCAGGGTTTTGACCATACATGCAAATTAACAATAGTTTTAAGAGCTAGAACCATGAATGTGCTTTCTCTTCGCCACAAGTATGTTAGTTTCTTGGTCCTATTTCACTATATTTGAAAATTGAAACTTATGAATTTATTAGTTCAGACTTATAAATAGATTTTATTATTTTGTTTTGGTCTTAAATTATAAATCCATTAAACTATTAATGTAACTGAAACAATGTCTATACTTTATATTTTTTGTTGAAAAAGAAATATACATTGGAGGTTATCAACTGAACTCCTTCATGTTCTGAATATTATGGCATTTTGACTGGCCTATTCTTCAGCCTCTGTCGGGTGTATAATCTGTAAGAAAAGGTGGAGGGGAATCTTATTTCTTTAGAAAAAAAAAATGATTATTAAAATATCAACTTGAGTGGTTCATTTTAACAATATATATGCACATGAGATCATACTGCCATTCCTGTACTCAATTGATTCCAGTCCTGAGTGTAGTAGAAATTGTAATAGAAGGGATAGAATTCTCTAATTTAATCAGCTGGAGGTTAGCTTTTGTCAGATTTTTTTAAGCCTACCTATCTAAGTGACCATATTCTTTGTCCAGAGATTGTGAATATTAATACAAGCTTTTATCAATTCCAATTTTTAAAAATTAGGCTTAGTGTGTTATTTCAGTATAAACAAATTTTATTCAGAAACAAAAAATGTATATATATGTTATAAATACTTCTTAGAATTACGCATTTATAGAATATTTGTTTTATGGGTTTATATATTGAAATATTTCCATTAAAACTTATTCTAAACCTTAAATAAAAAAAACAAATGTAGATGAATATAAGTTATATCATGTTTTTTAGTTTATTTTGCTATTAATAGTTATAGAAAAGTAAAATGTTTTTACTTGTTCATTTCTGTGATATGCCCATCTTTACATATTGCACAATATCTTTATCTAAAGTTTCTTTACTACAATTAGAAAATAAATTGTGGATTTATACAACTTTGGTTGGATTAGTTAGATTGTTTACTGATAAAAGGATTTTATGAAAATAAATTTGCACTCATTCACACAAACTTTTATTTTATATTTTTAGCAACATTTGATTATGACAAAGTTTGGTTCAGAACAAAGCAAATAAACTAGACTGTCTTTTTTGTCTTCATGTATCTTTTAGAAATGTATCTAGGTTATATTGCTACAAGAAATATCAGACATATAGCTAAAGTGAAATTTCTTTGCTATTATGTCTTATTTCCAACTTTTGTAAATTTTGTAGTATGATCTTTTATGAAAACTGTTATAACAAATTTTTCATAGTTTATTCAGAGACTAATTATTTTTTGTTTATATCTTTTAGTTCTTTAAGCTAAATGATTTTGAAATATATACAAATGATATATCAAATGTAGGGTTTATAATGTAGATGCGTGATGGTAAATAAACAGTGTTTTAGTCAATTTGATTTTAGCTCCCTAGAGCCCATAAAAATTGCCTAAAGATTAAAGTAGATTTATAAGCAACAACAAAATTAAAAAGTATAGCTTATTTATTTACATGTTTTCCACGTTTCAAGATGTGTACCAATTTTAACTTTTATTTAGCTGTAGTATGAAATCTTAGTATAATTGAGTTTAAATTATAAAATCTTATGACTATATTTTTAACTTTGAATAGGATTTGGATTTACTAGGTTATTACATTTTAATATATTTTTGCTTATTAGCTTCATGTATTATCAATAGCCACAATGGTTATTTATAAAACATGTTAACCTTGACTAAGCTAACAGAACAACTTACTGACATTCTAAAGATGAGTGTAAATGCAACAGCAAAACAAGAGTGGAGCCTTATTGCATATATATTTCATGCTTCATCACTCTTCCAAAACTTACTTCAGACAAAATTGGTACTTAGCTAAAAAGGTTTGCTAATGCTTTGTTAACACAGAACATTTGTATCCACTTACCAAAAGTAGCATTTTGGAGTGGACACTTAAAATTCAAATAAAGGAACATCCCATGAGTTTCAGAGAATAATAAATTTCTGCAATTATTACCTATTTCTTGTAAAAGTTAAATTTATTTCTGAACAGAAAACCTGTCCAGCTTATAAAATAAGAGTTCATTTTTAGCATATTCCAACAGGGCTAATAGTGAGTAAATTAAATGCAGTTTAAGCTTTCTTGTTTTTCTCTACCAATAAGTATTACAATTTCAGCATTTAATCCTTTTGATAACAAAGTGAATGACATGAGAATTTATAGTTCTTTTCATTAACTTCAAAATTATATACTTCTAAATTTTACATAATTTAATGATGTTACACGGGCAACTGCAAAGCTGGGTACAGCCTGTTCCAACCTTTGAGCACTTGCATCATCCTCCACCACATTTTATCTTACATCCGCACTTTGTCAATTCATGACAGCTTTTAGAAATTGGTTCCAAGGAAGTCCAGGCAACTTTCCATTTGTTACCGTCTTTCAACCATCCCCACTTGGAAGGACACAGAAGCTCTGGATCACGAACGATGGACTGCCCCCAGATATGTCCTGCTTGGAAGGCAGCACATTTGGCATGTTCCTTTAGTGCTCCTTGTGTTGGCGGGATTAATTCGTATGACCTCTGCTTCCTGGCAAAGAGATCTAACCTTGTTTCATCTACTGTAGTAGCAACACTTGACCGGTTGTACATCAGAACAACAAATCTCTCTAGAACTTGTGGATCAGACTCATTAATTTCAGGAGGACAGTGACTGAGTTTTGCAAATGTAGCCGAGGCATCGTTGCAAATATTCCATGTCTGCCATGCTTTTTTTTTCCCTTTGCCATTGAATCCAGATACCACATCACATCTGGAAAACGCATGGAAGAATAGTATCCCTTCGGCTTTTTCCGGTCCCAAAGAAGATGCAAGGTCGTGTATTGGGATCCATCGAGTGTGCTCCCCCTTGCCATAGGCAATCCACATTTTCTCCATGCCCATTGCAGGGAAAGAAGACATCAGGCTTAAGCCTATGACTACAATATCTGTGTCATTAGCTTCAATCATGAGAGACTTGTCCATCCTTAGCTGCATTCCAGACATGCAAAAATATCCGGGTATCTGCCTCTTCATGTGTGCAAGGAGCCAATTCATCTATCTTAGTATCAGGATGGCTGGAACTTGGTAGAGCATTTTCTTCTCGTGTTACAATTACTTCATTCATTGTGGTCATTTTGCCCACTTTGTCAGCAAGGAAATTCAACAGCTCTGTTTTGTTGGTATTGTCCCTTAGAAAGCTCTTCCACTTACTTGGTGTTTTGCTCTTTGCCGTTACTCTCCTCCTGATAGCTTTCCCGCGTTTTGATCATGCTTCAGACTTCAGACTAGACTCGTGATAGACATCAAAATTGATATCTGTCCTCTTGTAATTGTTACTGTAGTATTGCACCTTAGGAAGAATATCCTGTCTGGCATATTCTTCAAACGTCTTCGGCGTTACTGTATTGACTAGAAATGCACCATCTACTATGAGTACGTCAGTTTCTGGCTTCGTGTTTGGAAGCTCCACCTTGGTTTGCAGGACGTCCACGAGATCAAACTTGGTAGCGACATGTAGTTTGCCTCGCTTGTTGAGTGACGGAGGGAAAGATTGGTTCTCATGTTTGAAAAACTGTGATAAATCACATCCTCTGCTTTGGCAGGAGATAAAAAGGCGGGAGAACAGTTGACAATCTTCCTTTAGTAGCTGTGTTTCTGATTTCTCTGTTGGATCTGTGCTTGTTTTGAAGAAGTCTTTATTATTCCATTTGATTGGCTGATAGAAATGCTGACTGTCGGTCTTGAGTTTATCCATGAATGTTTGGAATTGCTCTTTCCCTTTCTCCAGATGAGATGCAACCAGCAGTGCTGCTGTAGGATCAGCAATGTCCTTAGTGTCAAGCGACAGTAGATCAGTGGACTCCTCTGAAAATGGATTGCCCATTTCTTCTATGACACTTGTAAGCCACTGAACCTTTTCAAAGAATGCCTTCTGAGCAGTTGGCGACTGCTCATGGTGATGACTTCCTTTCTTCGCCTCTTTGCTTCCTGATATGGCTTCATAGTCAGCAACGAATTTGCTAATTTCTGAACCAGCCACCATCCACCTCCAAAGAGCTGATGGATCCTCTGTCAGACCAACAGCTCCCCCATCCCCTTTGATGACAGCATTGTTTTGTTCATGGGCTTGGTCGATTGCCATTGCAGAGAACATCCTGTCAGTTTTATGAACCACGAAATTCCTATTGTGGAATTCTCTGGCGACCTTCTCTAATGATATCATATCACACAGATGAATAGGAAGCCATCTTGCATAGTTGACATTGTTGTTGGCAAAGAGGTAGGGTATCAGTTCCGACAGTGATTCTCGATACAGATTGAAATTCCTTTCTCTAAATGCTCACACCAGTGTTAAGATTGTCAATTCCATGTTCAGGATAGAGAACCAAAATGCGAACTGTGGACTCTCCTTCTTTCGACTATCACACCATTCCACAAAGCTGGAGGCCTCCTCATCGCCATCAGAATGTTCGGCAAGGTACGAACTGTAGACTTTCTTCAGGAGCTGAAACAAACTGCATGCTGTGACCTGATGTGCTTGATGTGTTTTAGTGACATTGGTTGCCAACAGGAATGAATCTGCAGTTCTGGAAGAGGCTACATCAGCTTCAACAAGTGCACTTGTCCATCCACTATCTGCTAGCATCGACCCAATAGACTTCAGTGCTGTCATCTCAATGTGCAGCCCACTAAACATGATCACAAACTTGTCTTCTCCATATTCCTCTGGCCAGTACCACTGTATTTCTTTTGCCATGGCATAGAGTGGTTGATCAGCTGCCAGGATGGGAGTTTGCCCTGGGTTAAGAAATGCTACAGCTTCCCTTACTTTCTTCATGGCATGCTTTATTGTGGCAACACTGTGAGCTTGATCTCGGAGAAGAAGTAGCAAGGAAGTGATGCTGGTTTCACATTCGCTAGTCTGTTTCTGGCTCGCATGATGAGCTGACCATGTTATATTGGATTCATCATCTACATCGGTGGTACCTTTGAACTTTTTCCAACCATTCGTATTTGACTCTTGTGTTCCTTTGGAAGAGACTGGGGTCAGGCAGTGATACTTCATCTACTGAGGCTGGGGTTGGGTTCTTCTTGAAGTAGGCTGGTGTGATATTTGTATAATGCTTTGGAAGCTCAGGAACCTTTCTTGTCCTACTGTCTGTTATTTCCGGTGAAACCCGCTGTTCTCCTCTGTTTTCCTTACTTGGGTGCTGGAACATGGAAATACTTGTACCATGGAATGACGTGCTAGCTGTGGTGGCCGTGGGATTGTGATCAATGTTGTCAACAGCAGCCATAGTGAACAGCCCTTTTCGCAGCACTGGTGAGCACATAACATCTTCTTCAACATACTGTTTTATCACAGTTTCACCAAGCTTGCCGGATATCTCTAATACCCTGTCATATGATATGCTTAGTCCATGCTCATGGAATTTGTCAATCAACTCTCTTTTTCGTGTCTTGGCGTACACCTTCAACCCAACATAGACAGCAAAAGGAGTCTCATGGTCTTTAGAATGTATTTGGGTTGTCAATCCTTCTCTACGTTTTGAGTAGCAGTTGAACTGTAAAAGCTGAGCAATAGGTAAGTCTGACTTGGCTATTCCGTGTGTCAGATGTGATTTTTTACACCATGTTCAACACCATGTTCAATGCTGCTGAATTTTGTCTTGTGCTGGAGCATTTCTTTTCTCAGGATAACTGAAGAACTGGCTAGCTTCATGGATCACTGGTCCTACAGCCTCCTCCCTTCACCAAAGCCATCTTTTGAGTGGACTCGCCTGCTGAATTTTGTCTTGTGCTGGAATTTTGTCTTTCTCAGGATATCTGCTGCCTTAGATAGATGGAGAGCATTGCTATACTGGCTAGCTTCATGGATCACTGGTCCTATGTCCGCTTTGAAGGCAAGGAGTACATCATGTCCCTTCTTATGGGCTTCAAGTTCTGGAATCCGAGCAAGTAGCTGTTCCTTCAACCTGGTAGAGTGGACATTTGGTGAATCAACCCCAAGCTGTTCCAAGCGAAGCTTGTGGAGTGAGGTTAGGTCAGCAAGCAGAAATACAACCGGTGATGATTCTGTGTTGGTGACTTTGCTATCCATGATGTAGATAACTAGTTCTGAAAAGGCCACTGGGTATAAATCCTTCCCTGGATCACTACTCTCTGCTTTCTCTAGGGAATTGAGGTATGCTCTTTCAGCATCGTACAATTTTTGGAGGCATCGAAGGTGGTACTTAACCTCCAGGGCAACAACATCTCCGCCACTTAACTTTGCAAGGAGCTTTCCATCATTCAGGGTTCTGGCACATTGATTGAGGTGTTCATTTAGTCTCTCTGTCATCCCCTCTTGCTGATTCAAAATAACATCATCTTCACAGAAGAAACATTCCACTTTTGGAATGTCTGCAGATTTTCGTCTCTTGCTTTGAGGTTCGTCTGTTGCTCTGGAGGTGCTCGGGACCGCTCTTCTTTGCTGTGCTCTTTCTAACTTGGTGTTGTTGAACAGCAATCGGCAACTCTGATGATATTTAGATCCATTTCGAACCAGAGTGGTTTCTATACCTTCACCTTCATCAAGCCTTGAAGGGTCAAGTGCTATCGGCATATCATTGATGGCATAAAACAATGGTACATTTCTTGCAATATTACTGTATCCAGCATAATCTTGCTTCCTCTGGAATGAACTAAGAGGTGAAATGAGGGTTTCTTTGCTTTTTTCCTGCTGACAATGGCAGCATATGCTCCAATCAGTTTTCGATGTGGAATCTTTATCCATCATTTGACAGGAACGGCCGAGGGTTTATCCTTTTACCACCATTCGCTCACTTTGATGTTTGGGATACAACTAGGTTCATGCAACTGCCCTACACCTAGCCCGATCGTTCATCCAATGCCATTTGAATCCCATGTGATCTGTACACCATCCAGATAACTTCAAAAGCCCCTGTTATCCTTGGCTCGGCTCTCCCGTGTTGGCACAACCTGTCCATTCAGGTACGTCTATCTAATATATTAGGGGCTTACTAGATAGAATTTGGGATACTAAACTCCATGTTTAGCTGACATTGAACCCCATGCTGAGTTCCACAGCAGTGTCTGTCACCAGTGTGCCCTGGTAGTGAGCAACATACACTCTCTTCATATCTCCTCACATTTCAATTTGAATGTTGTCTCCTGAATGAACTGCCACTACTCAACCTTATCAATTAACTGCGCTACTCTGCCCTCTTGATGAACTGCCACTATGAGGCACTGGCTGCCATCTTTAAAAAAATGGCCGCCATGTTGAATTTTCACAATGCCAGAACTTTTATCTGAAAACAGACCTGCAAGGAACACTCTTGCCAAATTTCAAGTTTATATCATAATTTGTAATATGGTTTTTGAGTAAAACCATGAAACAGAGGCCCGTTTAGCAGCTATTTTGAAAAAAGGCTGCCATATTGAAATTTTTTCATTGCTACCACTCTCACCTGAATAACCTACCTACAAGGAACACTCCTGCCAAATTTCATGTTTATATCACAATTTGCACTATGATTTTTGGCAGCCATATTGGATTTTTTCATGGCTCACACTTTTTTTCTGAAAAAGTGACCTATCAGGGACAATTATGCCAAATTTCATGCTTATCTCACAATTTGCATGATGGTTTGCATAATCTCCTCCACTAAAACTTCTGAGGTTGATTTAAAATAAAAAAATCTTTCATGGCTTTTTTTTTTTTTTGTTCTTTAGAATGAAATTTCATAACAAACTGTGAAATTCAGTTCTTGGTCTTTAAATCCCCCCCCCTCAAACTTTCACTTAAGTAAAATGATAAACTATTTTTTTTACTGATTCTTTTGCAAGTTAAAAGATTTAAATCTTCATATCTTCAGGTTATTTCCACTTAGGAAATAACCTGAAGATATTTACAAACTTTTAAAAGCTGATAGCTTGACTAAATTATTCTTAACTTGAAAATCACTATTTAACCTTAAAGTATATTATTTTTTAACTTCAAAAATCATCTTCCTAGCTAAAGTATCAGTGTGTACCAGATAAGAAGTCAATACTTTGTTGCAAATGACTAAAAATAACTCCTTAGTGAGCTAGTAAGTTTTATGTCAGTTAACTTATGCAATCTATTAGATATATGTAGTTATGAAAAGTCTTAACATTCATTTGAAAAATTCTGGATTGTTGGTACCTTCATGTCATTTTAAAACTGTATTTTCTACAAATTTTTCAGTATAGAGCTGTAAGAGATGCTTTTCTTTTTCAGAATTCTTAAGATTAGAGTTAAGCTTTTGTCTCACTTCTTGTGCCAAGGTGAAACAAATGCATAACTAAGGAATGAAACATTTTTAATTTCCAAAATTTATTATCACTCTTTCTTCCAGACAATAGAATATTTTACACTGTCTTTTAACATTGCAGTATATTTGGTCTCCAAAATAATGTATATATTTCTAAAAAAAATATTATATGGCAATTAGAAGTCTAAAAGTAAAACAAAATAGATTCCATTTGTCCAAAGTAAGTTTGTCATGAAAAATATGAAAAGTAGAAAATTTTGTGAGAAAAATTATTTTGTGAAATTACTTTTTCAAAGCACACAAATATTTTTCTGGTCTATTAAGAGGAATTACAATCTTGAACCAAGTTACAAATATTAATTATTAATATAAAATAAATTTTCACATTATAGAAAAGACTTATTTTTCATATTTATTGTTCTGTGAAAAATTCCAATTTTAAAGAAAGATTTTTTTAAGCATATAACACTTAAAAATTATTTTTGAAAAAGATTTTTGATGCCATTTTGTTAATCTTAACCAAGCAATAATGCTATGTAATTATATTCCATCCTAGCTATAGACTTAATTAGTAATCTTTAATTAAATGTGAATAATTATTTTAGTAATACAAGTCATTATTTTTTTAAGTTTGGAAATTTAAATTTTGTATAATTAGTAGCATCTAACTGCAGAACAGTTTTCCAATGATTATTTGCTAAAACCCTGTTTCAAGTTTTCTCCATGAAAAACAAGTTTCCCCTGGGTCCAATAACAATACACTCCACATGAAACTGAAGAAAAGTAACAGTATTCTTAATTCTCCATTATAAAACACATTGTAACTATATTTGTAAGTTACACATTTATTTCCCATTATCAGTGATGAAATATTGTGTTAACAGAAGACATTACTTAATGACAAGAAATGATTGTTTCATTAAGTAAGTGATCAAGCTGCTAATACATTGACTTTTATATCTTTTTTGTTAGCTTTCTGTAGAATTTTTTTTTTTACTATAGTTTAAAAAGCAGAATTTTCTTATACCTAAAAATAGTTAACTGTATAAACATAATCCTAGATTATTCATACAGAAAATATAACCAATTTCAAAATTACTTGAGTATGGCCATCATTTTTTAATATTGCAAGTAAATTGGTTTGCACCCATCCATCCTTGAATCTATACATAAATGAACACTGAGGTCAACACAGAGTGTCGATAGTCTGTTTTATGCTTGAATGTAATTTTCAGGCCATATGTGTTGTTTTAGCTTGATTATATATGCTGTTCATTAGCCCATTATGGGTAGCAAGGTCTGTTGTATTATCCTAACAGATATTGAGTAGGTGATAAGTTATATATTCTATTATTGTAGAGGTTATTGTGTAGAAATACTTGTGGCTTTGAATGTGGTTATTTGTTGCTATTGTATTTTTAACTTTTTACTCATTATTTGTTATTGATTACTTAGTGTATTTTTTAATTATTCATTAATTATTGTTATTACTACTACATTTACTTGTGTTTATATATGTACATTTGTAGTTTAATTTATTAATTGCTTAATTTTTTTTTTTTCTTTTCAGGGGTGGTTGTCTTATTCATTTTGTTTTTAAAGTATTGGTTTTGTCTAAAGTATATTATATTATCTACATTGTATATAGTTGTATGATTTTCTGTATTTATAGTGGAGAAATGCTCAATATCAGAGACAGTGTTTGTAAACAGTATAGACATAAGAAGATTGGTGAGTGGGATTTATTTATGCTGGGTAAGTGGGTGTTTGAAAAAATCTATATATAAAGTGGGTTATCATTTTTTTTTCTGAATGGTTGATAAGTACATTTGTGGTGGGGGCTTAAGATTATATCTAAAGATTTATTGCTTTAAGTAATAACCTGAAGTAGTGTGAATAGTGCATATATTTTTATCAGTTTACAGGTTTTACACCATTATAGCTTCCTATAGTTATGTTAAATATCTGCTATCCTCTTATTTAGCCATACTATTTCATTGTCAAATAGTGATTTTCAGCATTGTTTTATAATTTTTAGTTGATCTCTTATTTTTGTATATTCCTATACTAATATAGATTCAATGATAGAAGGATAGAAATTTTTAAAGTTGGGTGAATGAGCAATTATACATAATTTTTATGTTACAGAACCAGTCTATGGCTGATCACTTTTTCCCATTGCTTTAGATTTAAAGTTGTTCATAGTTTATTCTATTATAATTTTACTTATTTTTCTGAATTCACTTTTTTGTTGAATTGACTGCAAAGACAATTTCAGAACTAATCCAACATGCAGTCTTTTAATACGAATGTTTGTGATTTTGTGATGCAGTTTATGCAATCATCTCTTAAGTTTTTGTATTATTTTTTTGACTTAGTTTAATTTTGTGTTCTTTTGTTTTGGTTACTTTTTTGCATGTGTAATATGTTTTTACATATATGCTGACAAATATATAAACTTAGGGTTGCTAATTATAGATGATTCTAAATTTGAGAAATTCATTTGAGATCATGACATTTTTAATGGCTTCAACTTATTTAGAGGTTTACATATGCATATAATTGTCAGAAGAAATTAAAATATGTAAGCACAACTACCAATTTCATGCTTAGATTTTTTTCTTAATTCATATGTTTTAAATTATTATAGTAGCTCTGGTTGCTTGAGATTGTGTTTTCACTGATGCTACATGATAACAAGTTTTTTCATTTAATGAAAAATGTTAAATATTATTATTATCAATTATTGCTTTTTTATATATATATATATATATATATATATATATATATATATATATATATATATATATGCACTAAATTTTTCCATTGAGACTAAGTCAATTATTCTTCTGGCAATTATTACTGCTATAGCACTTGAGATGATATATATCATTTCTTCCTTATTTTTCAGATTTAAAACTAACTTCTATTTTAGTCATTTTCTATTAAATATTTTTTCTTTTTTAGTTTGTTTATTAAATGTAGAATATAGTGATTATTATTTTAAGAATAATTTTCTCAACTAGCACTAATCTTTAGCATTATTATGAATTAAGCACGCACATTTCCTACCTATATACATAGGTATGTTTGTGAATGCACAATTTTCATTGTTTGTATTAGTATATTTTAATAAATTTTGTTGTGAGACCATCATGTCTGTTCTTTCCTAATCATACAGGATTCAAAACTAGCATGTGTGATTTTTTTTTTTTTTTTTTTAAATCCCATTATTTTCCAATATTGTTCTCTGTTCATTTCATTGGAGTGAGCTGGTATTTTATATCCTTGCCACAACAGCATT